TTTTTCCCCACACTGCTTCTCTGACTTTCCTTTAACGTTATTTAACTTGTTGTTGTTGCTGCTGCTGTTCTGAGTTTTTTTGGCGATTCCTTTAATGTCTCTGTATAGGAGCCACACGTGCAAATAAGCAGTTCCTTGCACTTGTGTGTCTGACAATAAACCGAACTGAGCCTATTTTAATAGGAAATATTGCTCCATGTACTGTACTATACACACATTTATTAAGGATTCTGAGGGCAGACAGATTTTGGTTGACGTTTCTATCGATCACTTAGTTATCTTTAATCTTTCAAACGTCTGTGCTCCAAATTCCGATGCTCCTGCCTTTTTTAAATAATACGTGGAACACGTGAAGTGCGAAGTTGATTGTTCTATAATGGGGGGAGACTTTAATACTGTTTTGAAGACTAATGTGTATAGACAAAGAGCTAGCCAATATAATCCACACCCAAACACATTTTAATCTAGTTCACGCAGGGAGTGGCATCAGTCTGCGTAGGCTGCAAAGGAACAAGTAAGGGTTTGAAAGAGAAGATAAAGAAACTCAACGTTTCGGCTGTGGAGTCTTCTTCAGGTGACATTTTGAACTATTTCTTATTTATTGTCCTCCTCGGCTTTGGTTGATATGTGCAGGTTTAAGAAATCCAGATTTAAGACGTTATATGGGGCAAAATAGCTGGTTTTTGTCAGATTTCAGATCAAAAGGCTAGTTGTGATGGCTTGATATCTGAGGAACAATCGTTTCAAGCAGTAGAGTCCTTCTGTCCTGGAAAGTCTCCAGGCTGAGATGGGCACCTGACTGAGCTGTATAGAGTATTTTTAACTGAGATAAGAGGCTTTCAAATTGGAGGAACTCTCTCCCACGCCAAGGGAGGGATTTATTTCACTATTATAAAAGCATGATTCAGTTAAGAAAACTGACGAGCTTTGACTTTATTATGCAATGATAATCATATTTCATCTAAATGTTTGGCTCTTAGCTTCAGGATAGTGACTGATAAAATATACATACAAAGGACCAAAAGGGGGTTTTACGGACAGTTGATATATTGGTGATACATTGATCCTGTAGATTGTTATGGAAATGAACAGATGCGCAGGGTTATTATTTAGTGCAGATTTGGAAAAATACTGTTGCTAATTTGAAGCGGGTCCGTTTGTTTAGATGTCTGCAGTATGTTAATTTTGGTAGCTCTTGTTGTCCTTGGCTTGAGGCACTGGGTCTGAAACCCATAAGTAAATTTGCAAAAAAAGTGGATATTTATCAGAAAGATTTGAACTGACGAGTGGAGTAAGACAGGAGTGTCCTGTATCTCTTTATTTATTCCTATAGAAACCTTGACTATATGTTTCAGAAATAATAATAACAATATATATGCTATTCCACATACATTTTTCAGGTTTTGGGAAGAGCTGTTTAATGTTCCTGTTCCTTAAGCAACGCTGTTTAAGTTGATTCACGGGACTACTATAAACTCTGCCTTACAACTTCAGTTTAAGATGATTTATACTATACTTTTCTTTCTACAAACAAATGTCAAGCATTTGCGGTGTTGTAGAATCTTGTATTTGTTGGTTTTGTGGTGAAGATGATGAAGATTCATTTCCCTCATTTTGGTATTTTCCAGAAGTGGACAGACTTTGAGTATCAGTACAGGACTGGTTCCTTCCTATAACAGACAACTTCACGGTTACACTGCAGGTTATAATATTCGGGGATCTTGGGATGGATTGTAAGATTGTGTTTAATACACTACCACTACTTTCCAAAGGTATATAATATATGAATATGAAATTATTATTAAATTAAAATATTGAATAAAGCACACCAAAAGAAGGCTCCACAGCCGAAATGTTGTGTTTCCTTTCGTCTCCTTTCGGCCTGGGATAGACCTTTGACTTGTTCCTGAATATTACATTATTTTAAGCATACTGCAGAACATTATTATATGTTGGAAAAGATTATGTTGGGGGAAAATGTGATAGAAGAGTTAAAAAAATTGAGGGGTTCAGAAAAATAGAAATGTTTCATCTTGAAAGACAGGGAAATAATGAATAAGTTCTGGTAACTGTATTGGACAGAAGACTATTGATTAATGCTCTATTTCGTTTTTTTTTCCTTTTCCTTGTGTGTGTTTTTATGTTGTTTGTTGTGTATTGTTTTGGGTGTTTTGGGTTGTTTTGTCGTTCTTTTTTATCTCTGGAATTATTTGCTTGATCACGTTTTGTGCTGTTTGTTTGTTAAAGAGAGAATAGTTTCAAAAGCAGTTTGGGTGCAAATGAGAAAAACTACTGTAACACTAATCCTTAGACACCCGTGTGCGAACTGCCCGGAAGTGTAGTGAATGAGCCTTCCAGTTACATCTGCAGCTCAAATCTGTGGAGCAGTAAAGCATAACGAGGGCTTTTCTTTGCGACAGGTTGGGAATCTCGACCTCAGAAACCTGAAGAAACTCTCCTCTGAACCCAAAGAGAACAACACCTTCTACATCCAGAACTACGGAGGACTGAAGAATGTCCTGGACAACCTGCAGAACAAGATCTACAGCATTGAAGGTACCGGCTCCTGCTCACTGACACAGTCCTGCCACTAGACGGCGGGGAGGGCCATCTGCCTGTGCTGCACCTTCAGAGGGGACTGGACTTCGAAGGCAAACAGCTCAGTGAAGTCAATTCGGCCAGAGGAAAGACAAAGGGCACCTGGACTTTGCAGAGCTCAAGAAACTCCCACACCTGTTAGAGACTCAGGACGCACACTCCCCAGTGACAGCACATTACAGTACAGTACAGTACAGTACAGTACAGTACAGTACAAAGCCAGCAGCCATATCACCCTGCAACTCACAACTGACAGCCCACTGAAGCTCAGCAGGTGTGAGCCTGTTCAGTACCTGGAGGGGAGACCTCCTGGGGAAAACTAAGGTTGCTGCTGGAAGAGGTGTTAGTGGGGCCACCAGGGGGCGCTCACCCTGCGGTCCATGTGGGTCCTAATGCTCCAGTATAGTGACAGGGACACTATACTGTAAACGGGCGCCGTCCTTCGGATGAAACATAAAACCAAGGTCCTGACTCTCTTTGGTCATTTAAAATCCCAGGGCCTTTCTTGAAAAGAGTAGGGGTGTAACCCCGGCGTCCTGGCCAAATTTCCCATTGGCCCTTACCAGTCATGGCCTCCTAATAATCCCTATCTATGAAGTGGCTTCATTACTCTCCTCTCCTCCCCACTAATAGCTGGTGTGTGGTGAGCGTTCTGGCGCACTATGGCTGCCGTAACATCATCCAGGTGGGGCTGCACACTGGTGGTGGAGGAGGGGATCCCCATTACCTGGGGATATCCAGAAAACCGCTATATAAGTGTAAGCAATTATTATTATTATAGTACATGCCTCTAGAGGGCGCTGTGTTGGTTCAGTGCCACTACCTATGGTGCAAAGAATGGTTTGCATGTAGGCAGGAAGCTGTTTAGTATTTAAGAAGGCAGTATGAGGATCAGGGAGCATCTTGGAGTGCAACCAATGTAGCAGTGGGGTCGGGTAACCAAAATGAAGCCAGCCCCCAGCCACTGATCAGTAATCTCAGATTTCCTCTGACCGTCTTCCTCCGACTGGGCAGGTGCCTGAGGATGGCCCCCCAGTGCCTTCTGGGTATTGTAGTTTCAGACAAGAGCCACCATCTTGTTTGACCCTGCTGCCCTCTTACACGAGGTAGCGGGTGTTGCCTGACGCACAACAGCCGACCCACAGCTTCTAACCTGTCACAAACAGTTCTTTCCAGGCCCTATGCGGACCACACGATCCGGAATTGTGAGGATACACTAGGGAAAATAGTCATGCAGGAGAAGGGTCTGGAGACAGGGGGGGTGTCTGAGGAGTGCAGGTGTCCAGGGGGAGTGAGTCCAGGGCCAACAATCCAAGGGTAAAACCAGAGGGGGAATCCAAAACAGGAGGTTGAGTCCAAGGCCAGGGGATCCATCCGAAGTAATTAAAAACAAGAACCAGGTCGGGTCGGGACCGGCAGGGCAGGAAATCAGGAACAGGAAACTAAAACCATGACAGAGCCAGACACAACAGGACCCCCCAGGCTCTCACACAATGGGATTCAATGAGAAGCACCAGGCAAACGCCTGCATCTGGCTTTAAAGGTGGAACTAAAGAGGGGCTGGGCAAAGGAACAGGTGTAAGCAATGGGGGAAAACGAGGAAGGGCTGGAGCGCCCTTAATTCAATTCAATTCAATTCAATTCAACTTTATTGTCATTAAACATACACAGGTGCATAGTATAATGAAAAGTGTTTCTCATTAGTCACTCAGGTGCAGTATATAAATAGGACAAAAGATAAGACAATAGACAGTTACACAATAGCAATAACAGTAACATGTAATAACATAACATAAATAACATGTAATCAAGTCATCCGAGAGCTAATGAAGCCGCTGCGTCCATGCGCGCCGCCATCTTGAATATGCGGGAATATCCCCCTTAAGAGGAGGAGTAGCGATCGTGACATAACCACAGAGCACTCACTGGTTGTGGGGGTTGTGTTAGCCTTGAGAAACTGCCCAATTGTTCAGCCCACGCGACAGCCCTGCAATCCCACATGCATACAAGGCAAGGACTGCGGCTCTAGCAGGATCTCCACATGCAGATCCGCTCCAGGTTTTGCCAGCTGCCGGCTCCCCTGAAGAAGCCAAGAGCAGAGGAGCTGTGAGGCGTCAGTGTCCTCTGACCCCCTTTTCCCAGGAGCCTGTCTGGGAGCCCACAACTATCCAGAACAATCCCACACCGTCAGAAGGTGTCAGACAGTATCTTCCCTGTGTGATAACCAGTGACTGTGATCTGTGCCCAGTGATCAGGGGTTAATCAGAGGTCAGAATCCTCCCATTCTGCATGATCTAGCTGAACCAGAAACAAAACCAACTTAAAACTGAGAACGTAGCAGTCTTAGTCTTAATGCAGAGTGTGTGTTTGTCTTTAGGAGCTGAAAGCAGTCAACCAGTTCACATTCATCCTGTCATTCAGTCCTTTAAGGGGTTGAGTGTGTAACTGAGAACTGGGCAGGAGCGAAAACCCGGCGTGCGGTCCAGGATCCGCACCCCTGGGCTAGCGGCCTCACTGACCGACTCCCCGTCTTCCCTGCAGGTGTGAGCAGCACCAACAAGAAGAAGTTTGAGAAGGAGATGTCCCAGACCGGATTCAGCGCGCTCTACAACGAGGTGAGTCGGGGTAGCAGTGTAGCACAGCAGACAGGGTCCCGGACTCCTCACCAGGAGGTTGTGGGTTCGAATCCACGGTGGGGTGGTGCTGTTGTACGCTTTGCGTCACACCCGTCACCCCCCAGTGGATCCCAGTAAACACATCCAGCCGAGAAGGGGCGACCGGGCGGGGTGTGAAATGCCTCGGGCCCGAGGCGGTTTGACTCTCGGCCCGCGACATCGCCCGGCCTGCGGTCCCGTTGCGTGAACCGGACAAGCTCCTTTGCTCCAGAACCGGCCCTGAAGTGAGGTGTGTGCTGGAGGTGACCCGGTCAAGCTCAGCTAGTGGGCTGTAGGGAGGTTCTCAGGCAGTGGTCACCAAGAGACATCGGGGCAGCTCACGGGGGGGGAGACAGGAGGTGCGTGTGTTCTTGAGACTTCTCCCAGCCCTTCTGCTGCACAAATTAAAGCTCATTCCCACTCCCACATTCCCACTGGACAGCGCTGTGACTGGACGCCCACAAAGGAAGACCTCGTGGGAGAAATTCGGTTTTAATTCCGCCATATTATCCCTGTGGGCAGCATGGTAGTGCAGTGGTGAGTGTGACTGCCTCGCAGTGCCGGGGCCCTGGACTCAATGCTGGCCCTAGGGTGCTGTCTGTGTGGAGTGTGCATGTTCTCCCCATGTTTGCAGAGGCTTCCTCCAGGTGCTCCAGTTTCCTCCCAAGTTCAACAGACACGCTGGGAGGTTAATCGGCTTCTGGTGTGAGTGCGTGTCTACCCTGTGATGGACTGACATCCTGTCCAGGGCGAATCCTGCCTCGTGCTGATTGCTTGCTGGGACAGACTGCAGCTCTTCCACAACCTTGTACCATTTAAAGTGGGGGTGTGGAACAAGCTGCCCAGCCATGTTGTTAAAGCCGATACTCTGACTTCTTACAAGACACAGCTGGTTGAGCTCCTCCAGTCAGGACAGGAGGCTCTG